TTTTTTCCAATTGAAGGTAGTTAACAGTAAGCTCTGAGTTAGGCACTGAGCTGTAAATTGGTGGCAGCTTCTTTGAATTTAGTTATTATTTCCTCATATTACATGTGCTCATTTATTATATATTTAGCTTCTCATATTTTTTTTTTAATTATTGTGAGTACATAATAGTTGTATATCTTTATAGGGTACATGTGATGATTTGATACAGGCACATGATGTGAATTAGTCAAATCAGGGCAACTGGGGTATCCAGCACCTCAGGCATTTATCATTTTTTTGGGTTAGGAACATTCTGATTCCACTTTTAGTTATTTTAAAGTATATCCTAACTTATGATTGATTATAGTCACTTTGTTGTGCTATAAATATTATTCATTCTATCTATATTTTGGACCCATTAACTATCCCCACTTTATCCCCCCTACTCCTCGCTATGCTTATCAGCCTCTGGTAACCATCATTCTACTCTCTGTCTCCATGAGATCAATTGTGTTTAATACTTAGCTCCCACATTTGAGTGAGAACATGCAAGATTTGTCTTTGTGTGCTTGGCTTAATTTCCCTTAATGTAATGTTACCCAGTTCCATCCATGTTGTTGCAAATGGCAGGATTTCATTAGTTTTTGTATATTCTTTTTTAATTGAAAGATTTATATAATCAATAGAGGCACAAAGAAAAATAGATATTATATTTAATTTACCCCTTAATGTTAACCACTTAATATTTTAGTATTTGTACTTCCAGGATTTTTTAATATATCTTACATTTTTTCTTTACTATTTTAAAAATATATTTAATTCTTATCTCTTAATTATGTCTCTTTTGCTTCTGGGCAATATCTAGAACTGATTTTTACCTAGCCTGTAGATGCCAGGAATTATCTTCTAAGATTGCTTAATTCTGGAGCCATTTTGTCACCTTTGGTCATATTAGTATTCTAAATTTTGTAGCTCCTAATCTTACATCCTTTTCTTCCTTATGTCTTTCAGATCCATGTGAACTTGAGAGAATTAGAGGCAGCTGCCTGGTTTAGTCATGATGAGGTGGCCACAGCCCTGAGGAGGAAGGGCCCCAATGTTCAGCAGCAGAATGAGACTTTCCCATTCTGGCTGCCCCCCAAAGTAACCGTTGCCCACCAACTGATTAAGGAGTGGGTAGAAAAACAGACCTGTTCTTCTCTGCCTGCTTAGCCCAGATCAAGTCATCCAGATCCCTCTCCTTGGTATGCCTGAGGGGCGCACCAGAGATCGATTGACAAAGGGGAAGTGACAAAGGCCAGCTTCAGGCCAACCTCGTAAGGCAGAGCAGAAGGTGAGCCTATAGTGGGACACCTCTATCAGTAGTGTCAATGAAAGAAGTTCCTACTAATAAGCAATTAAAAATGCCAGTGTGAGAAGAAAAACTGATGAGATGTCAACTATCAAAATTAGAGGGAAGGCCAGGTGTGGTGGCTCATGCCTATAATTCTAGCACTTTGGGAGACTGAGGCAGGAGGATCGCTTGAGCCTAGGAGTTTGAAGTTGCAGTGAGCTATGATGACAACACTGCACTCTAGCCTGGGCAACAGAGTGAGATGCTTTCTATCAAAAAATAAATAAATAAAAATAAAAAAATAAAAAAAAAATCAGAACAGTAAAGCATTAGTTTGGATGTAGGCCCTTGTTATTGAAAATGTATAGCAAATTTCAAGTCACTACTGAGTTTTTATCCTCACAGAATTAAGAAAAATAGCACAATATAACATTTTTGAATTCATGTACAGGTACATTCTTGTATGTGGTAGTTAAATAAAAGTCATATTTAAGTCATTTGAAGGAATGGGGAAAGTGAGAGCTAAGGTCTACCTCAGAATACTGTGCTATAAATCAGATGCAATGAGGCTCTGTTGAGGGAGTTGAATCCCAGTGTGACTCAAGAAGGTAAATCTTTTTTTGCTATTTTCAGCTCTGTTACTTACCCAGTTTGTGACTTAGGGAGAAGACTATCACTTCCTCATTGCCTGTTTTCCTAAATATAAAACAGTTGCTGGTATTTGTACACCCACTAAGTGTTGATTAACTGTAACAAAGGGATTAGTGAAGATAAGCAAATGCCAAATCTGAACTATTTCTTCAACTTTAAGGGATAAACTAAATTTAGGATTTTTCATCATTCATATATGCTATTCTATACCTTGTCATAAGGGAGAAGAGTTTATTTGGGGGAAATAAATATATTTCCACACCTTTGTCTGGATGTATTTTTCTGTCCTATGAATGGAGAAAATTTTAGAAAGTAAGAACTTGGGGGTGGGGGAGAGGATCTCTTATCAGTATGACAATTAAACATTTAAGTCCAGGTTCCTAGTATGTGAATGACTGAAGTACTGTGCAGAAGAATTACTGTTAGAGGTCTGGTTAAAAAGAGGAATGGCTGGGGAAAGAATACTATCTTCAGAAGATTCTAATGCACTAATTTGTGATTAAAGACACAAGCTCCAGAGACCCTAGGTTATTCACACATCAAAGTCTCAACAGGACTAAGCAAAAGTGATTCTAGAACTAATAAAGTTAAAGCACTGATTTTCCTTTTGACCCAAACGGCCCTGCAAACCATCATTGCTTTGGGGAAATCAATGAGCCTCCATTGGGAAATGCTGAGAGATAATATGTGATGGGACTTGATTGTCTCGTTAGATTGGCAGCTTGCCTTACCCGGGCTGAACCTAGTATGCAGAAGAGAAAAGCACTCTCGAAAGAGAGGTCCTGAGATTTCTTCATATCTTGCAGTTAGAAGAAAACAGTTCAGGGTCCATGTGTGTTACCATCTCCCAATCTCTTCTATCTCTATGTGGGTGTGTTTGTGAGCACATGTGTACACATCCCCAATCTGAAAATACCGATAGGGGAGTGTGCAGGATTCCTGGTTATGAGTTTCTCAAACTTACCATGGAGTAACTGTTTGCTTTTTGATTAATGTGTTTTTCTGGGAAAGAAAAGATGAGAGTGGCTAACAGGAGGAGTGACAACATTGAACTTTGTTTTCCAGCAGTGAGTGGGGAGAGGGATTTGCTGTAGAACTACAAGGATATTTGAAAGCTGAGGCAGGAGAGGCCAGGGTTGGGGTACTGAAAATGGCAGATAAATAACAGAAACTTTGGTATGGGGCTTACCTGGCTGGAGAATATATATGTGGCAATGAATTATGAAGGTGCTAAGGATAAATAGAACCCAGCTGGGTCCATGATGCAGAATAGCAAAAAAAGATAAAACCTTAAAACAAATTTGTCACCAGAGCCTGCCTGTAGGTGAGTTACCCTGGTAACTGGAATAAAAAACCAACTCATTCATTTCTTATTTTTGCCTGTGTACTGCCCTTTCTCTATCCAACATTTAATTCTCAATGAAGATAAACTTAATGTACCACAAGTATATTGGGGGGAAAACTTTTTCTCATAGTCAAGCTGGGATAGCATTCTGGAACCTCATTTTTAACATGTGAACTATAGCTTCAAAACAAATAATAAGAATGCATTTATTTAAAACATTTAAATTAACATTATTTAAAATGTTAAAATGTTGCCCTATGTAATAAAAAGAAATATCTTCATCTGATGCATTTCTTTAACCAGTATGTAACACTTTTCCTCTTCCTTAGATCGTTTCAGTGAACACCACTGTAAAAGTAAGAAGAAGAAGGGTTGGAGGGGGCGTATAGCATATTTAGTTTTTATTAATTTGTGATAGTAGGTTCCCAAATAGGAACTCTACTACACCATTCTCCTAATTCCTCCCTTGGTCCCTGGAGAGGGGGAAGTATGGAATCACTTCCACTGTCTTTATTTTCATAGTGTAAGATACAGTAAGAGCATCTCCGCTTCAAACGATCACAGTAAAGGAAAAACCAGAGACCTAGATTATAAAAACATGGTCAGTATATGGAGCTGTTTATAGATAAGACTTGATTCATTTTAGTAGGAATATGAGAATCATATTAAGAAAAAAACATATTTCATCTTAGTAATAGATCAGTTATATTAAATATCAAATCTCAATTAACTAATTAATTACAATAATTAAGTACAGCATCGATGTATAAAGTGCCCAAAACAGGCAAACCCATAGAGACAGAAAGTAGAGTAGTGATTTCTAGGGGCTGAGAGGAGGAGAGAATGAGAAGCTATTAATGACTATAAGGTTTCTTTGTGGGGTGATGAAAATATTTTGGAATTAGTGGTAATGGTTGCATAATTTTGTAAATATACTAAAAAAAACCCCTACTGAATTATATACTTTAAAAGGGTAGATTTTTTGGTATGTGAATTATATCTCAAAATAGCTGTTATTGGCCAGATGTGGTGGCTCATGCCTATCATCCTAGCACTTTGGGAGGCCAAGGTGGGAGGACTGCTTGAGGCCAGGACTTCAAGACTAGCCTAGGTAACATAGCATGACCCTGTGTCTATCAAAAAAAAAATAGCTGTTATTAAAAAGTAAATAAGTTCTCTATCTTGGTTTATGCACATACATGCAAAAATTCACTATACACTTAAGATTTGTGTATTTAACTATTCGGATGTTATTCCTCATTAAAAATTAGAAAGAAAAAGCAAATAAGGTATCAAATCCAAATTTGCCAACTTGGAATTTTGACCTGAGAATGAATAGAGGTAAGGAAAAAATTAAACGTCTGGAATTACACCAAAGGTGTAGTGGCAGGGTATGTTGTTAACGTGGAGTGTATAAATCTCATCTCAGAAGCTGTCTAGGGGCTACATTATATCCTGCTGACTTCAAAACCATTCTTTGTGCACTCTGGAGTTGAGATCACAAAGACTTGTGCAGAGAGGGCGACAGTTGGGGCTCATGGAGAAGTCAACCTGTGAAACTCGTAATGAAGAAACATTTTCACTAAGTGAATAAACTGGAAATGAACAGAATCAGACTCAATATTTATTTAAAAAGAGAAAAAGAGAAGCTGGATATGCTGGTTAATCTTTCGTTGGCTTACTTGTGGGTCTGTGGTCGGTGTTGTCCGGCAGTTGCACTCCCATGCTTTGTAAAAGGTTGGAAGCAGGTCCTGGCAGTCCAGCTTGGGAGCTATAGGATTCCAATATATTTGAAACCAGGTTCAGGTCTACATCCACTGGTGCCATAACAGACTCTCCTGTACCAGAATCTTCCTCATCTGAACTGTTATTGGTGGTCTGGGATACAGGTTCCTTATTAACGGAAGGAAAAGATCAGGGGATAATTACCATTAAGGTGGATGGTGGTTACAGTAAAAAGCTAACTAAGCAACAATGTAAATTTGAATTCCAAATTAAAAAGGAAATTTCTTATCCTTTGAAATATAAAGTGAAAATGCAGCCCAATAAACTATGTGATTTAATACAGATATTACAACTTGGTTCTAGAGATTATAACACATTTCTTTCCAAGAAAAATTTTTACAGATTGAATGGATTTTGTCTCTATTTTGAACTAGCCCAAAGGAGATAATAGAGTTATGAAGGAACATTTATAACTTGCTGAGAGTTTTAAAAGAAATATAAAAAGACGTAAGAATCTAAATTTTCCTCTAAATGAAAGAAGCTAGATTTCCTTTTCACCCCTTCAAAAAGCTTAAAGTAAAAACATGAGGCTTTGTGGATCAAACCACAGAGAGTCTGAATTGTTACTTTGGCCTCTGATTTCACAGGCTGGGAAAGGATTTGAAAGATTACAGCTTGATCTATAGACTTTTACATCCTTGCTATTCAAAATGTAGTTCATGGATCAGCAGGAGCTGCATCGTGTGGGGCTTGTTAGAAATAGAAAATCTCAGGTTTATCCTAGACCTGCTCAATTAGAATCTATATTGTAACAAGATCCTAGGTGGTTTATATTCACACTAAAATTTAAGAAATACTGCTTTAGATAAATCTAATGTATGGTTTCCATTACATTTTGGCAATACTGAAAGCGAATATAGTTTTAGATGTGGTTTAGACGATCAAAGCAAAGGGAATTAACATTCAGGACCTTTTATAGGTTTTACTGTTGTCCCATTTGGTTCTCATGTTAATTCTACGACATGAGGATTACTGGTTAACAGATACATTCACAGTGCATGGCTGAGCTGGATTTCAAACCCTAACCCACAAGACTCAAGGGTCCATGCCCTTTCCATAATGGTTCTGTCTAGGGTTAGACAGTGAGGGCATAAAAACTAGGATGAAAACATAAATGGAAGATGAATTCTAAGTTTGGCTCTGAATTAGAGAAATATACAAAACTATTAAGATTTGAAAGTTATTTGAATATTAAGATCCTCTCTCTTTTTAAAAATTCATTAAGCTGTTAGTAGTAGTAGTATGCAGCCACATACTACTTTGAGCACATTATATGTATTTTTATTTAAAATCCTGATAGATAACATGGAACAAGTAATATAATAAAGCTTATGTTTAGGAAAATAAAGTTTATAATTCTTCATCCTATTAGAGTTAGGAAAAAATTAGCATTCTTATTTATTTTAAATCTCACACATCAAAAAAAAGTAAAAAAACTATGATAAAACATGGTTTTAGCTATCCAATATAATAGACTCAGAAAGGGAAAAAGGTTAAAAACATACATACCACTTGCTTCCGGGTGGTGAAACTTTTGCCAATGCTGGTGTGTGCCAGTTCCTGGTCCATCTGGGCCATGTATGACTTGAGATTATGAAGAGTTCCTTTCAGAGAAGCCTCTTTGCCAGGGTCCTGCATTTCGAGGTCCAAGTCATCATCACTGTCCAAACATTCAAAGTCTTCCTCATCCAGATCATCAGAGTCTGACTCATGAGGCCTTGGCCCTAAACAGACCCCAACACAGAAAGAGCCACTTGGTACAATTTTTTTTTTTTTTTTTGAGTGACTACATGTCTCAAAAGAATTTAGAATGTTACCCACAGAAAAGGACCAATATACATAATCAATCTACTTCACAAAAATCC